CCTTTTAACCATGATACGCCCTCACCTCGCGCGCCTTCGTGTCATTACCCCACGAGCATCGTGTGAGGAACCACTTTCTCTCCAGTAAGCAATGTCGATACATACATGTAAGCTTAATCAAATACATGAGAAGTATAGATTGGATTAGTAACGTTTTTCTAAATTAGTACGGTATGCTCGGGAAGCCACATAATATTGATTCAACAAGAAACTGACGCAAATTCGATAATCGCTTTTTGACACAGTAAAATGCGCGTCCCTCGCATATTGAATCCAAGAGATCGCGTTTATGAACGCACAGAAATTGGCCAGGTAATCTCTTACTTCTTTGCTAAAATTCAAAAGTGTTATAATTAAGGCTAAGAATGTAGTATCTACGTGAACTATAACAAGGTACGTACCTCGTTGCAACCTTTCTACCAAAGTAAAGGTCCCGCTAGGTCACAGCGTTTTATACTAAGACACTATCATAAACTGAACGCTATACTAGTACACACTGCAACAGAATTGTGTCCTAGCTGCACTCACTAGAATTAGCTCTGCAGCGGGGCTGCCGTAGAGGAAGCTTGGTTAAAGTCGGTGTGTGACATTCGTTCTATACTTAGAACCAACACGAGCGTAGCAGATCGCACTCCACTTTCTCCAAGAGTAAAACAACCTTAACCCAAAGCATTTAGCTCTTCCGTTCAAAATGTAAACTGTATTTCTCGGTATTATTTGCGACAAAGCGTCAGCGGAACATCACTCGCTTTAATGAGCAATTGAATTATAACCATCGACCAAGTCGAGTGCACTGTAGTTTGTACATCCAACCATATTGTTCTGGAGAACATCCTTCCTGGGATTCGGCGTCTGTGTCGGAATAATAGTAGCGTTAAGCTTTTTGTAAGCGTGAACGATAACCCACTTGCCGTTCGGGTCCCGGACACAAAACGAGGGTATCAAATGGGGAGACTTACTCTCACGCCCGAATCCTGCATCGTGCTTTGCACGGAAGGAGGTGTCAATGACGTCACACAGCTCCTTGGGCAGGGGCCATTGGCGTGTTACGCAGTATTCGATTCCCTGAACCAGGTCGATCTCACGACGCATACATGAATCCGGCGGGTCTTTGGAGACGACGTCTTGAAATTTCATTACGAAAGGATAGTACGGATCCGAATGATTTTTATGAATGGAAGATCCACTTCGTGCGTTCAGCACCCTCTTGGTGACCTTCAGGACAGCTTCATCCAGAAGTGCAATTAATCTCCTCTTCCAGTCGTATAATGACCACTTTGGCCAAGTGGCCTGCCTTCAAGGCACCGCCAAACTCTTCGAAGGATATCTCGTCCAGTTCAAGAAGAGCATCCACCGCGGGAATAACCTCTAGGGTGACGTCGCCGTCTTTCTCTCCCGTCAGACCGTTGACGAGGGTGTACAGGTGTGCGCTATCGTCTACAGTAGACACATCCTCTTCGTCCAGTGGATAATGCGCCATTCCACGCGAATCTAAAGGGCCTTGCATCGGACCTCGTCCGACCATGCCACTCGTGGCATGCAGCAACAGCTTCGAAGCGTGAGCAGTGCCTCAGTGAATTCATGCCACTCCACGTGCATCACTGGGGCTTCGCCCTCGATTCCTCGGACCTCTTCCGACCATGCCACTCTTGGCTTGCAGCGGCTGCTTCGACACTTGAGCAGCGCTCAGTGGGTTACGTGCTCCACATCCAGCCCTCGAGTCATGATCAGGACTTCAGTGCGATTAATCTTCGGTGTTCGACAACTCGGATACTCCAATCTCCAGCACGGTAACCGTCCCAGTTCAGTGTTCGCGCCAATATTGGCTCTACTTCCTAGCAAAGGCGGGTTCTTAACTCACCAAAGTTCCACCAGGAGACGTACGCGTAACACCCAAGATCTTCAACCTCCAATCGATCCATGGCTCATGGTGATCCAACCATGCCATACTAAGGATGGGGTCATACCTTGAATCCAAATCTACGACTAAGCAGAGTTCCACGCTATCTATGTAACGGGGTTATACGTACCCTTGTAAGAAAGGATGGGCCACACAAGATGGTGTGACCGTACATAGGTGTGGATTGCACAATTGGTGTATTTACACAATTTTGTGGCTACACCGTAACAAGAAACCACCACGTGGAAGGACTGCCAGTAGTAATGCATACTAATTATGTTTCACTTTACTTTGAGGTAATATTATATTAATTAGGAAACCTATGGTTTCAGATACTGGCGGCTCTGTCGGAACTAAAACAATTACATACAGTTTTAATTTTGAACGATTGAGCGCCTTTACGTTGGCTAAGGTTTTAAGTAGTCTTGGAAGTAGCGCATTTTGATCCGCTACACTCGTACTAGTTCTTGTAAAGAACGTACGATCAGTGACCTTAGCTAAGCTTCTTCTAAGCAAAGAGCTACGGCAGCCCTGCTGCACGTGGTAGCACTTGTAGTCAATTGCTCTGCTAGGGAACCTACAGCAGAAGCTGTCTGCGTCTACTACGTCCATGACGCCACCGTCGACGACGGATAACTCTTCTCGACGTAGGCCACTCATGGTGAGCGGTAAGATCTTCGAGGGTAAGGATGAAAAAAATCTCCTGCTCTGGATACGAGAGACCGAGATGGCTATGGCATCCGCCATGCCCAAGCAACAGTGCGTGGCGCTAGCTACCTCCAAGCTCGGGGGTCAAGAGCGAGATTGGGCACTAACGTGCGGTGCTTCGTTTGAAGCGGCATTCCCCTCCTGGAAGGGGCAGCTTCTGCGAGTGTTCTTGCCGCCTAATCAGGCGTATCGCGTGAGATCGTGTCTCCTTGCTGCCCGATAGAGCAAGAAGGAGTTGGTGGGCTTTGCTCAAGAGTTGAGAACCCTTATTGCCGGGATGGCAGCAGTTCCTCTCCCCGAGGTGGTTGCAGTGACCGTCTTTATGGAGGGCCTCCGCACTGGCGTGGCCAGGATGGAAGTCTCCCGCGTGCATTCCCTTCTTTTT